ATCAAAACCTACGTACTGAAATTCCTAGCATTGATGCACGACTTGAGATAAAATCAAAATACTTTTACGTTGACAGTGGCGCCCCTATCGTATTTTCGCAACAAAAAGGATTTTTTGATGTTATTCTTAAATGAACTATTCCTACTTAGATTTTATCTATATTAGTATCAATCTGAAGGTTATAATTGAAGGCTTCATTCATGATAAGATCAGCTTTACTATACGTGCCTGTGTTAAGAAAATCAGTTTCGAACGAAAGGTATTTTTCTCTTATTTTATCGATTTTTTTTGTGGGTGTGGGATGTGGGTGTGAGTTTTCATGTATATCTCTCCAACCACACCCACACCCACCCACATCCCGCACCCACATTCACACCCCATACCCGCTCCTCCATCAGACTACTTTATTACCCAATGGATTCCCGTATCCAAGACCCCCTACACCTCTTACATCTGCTGTATTTCTGACGGATAGATTTAATTATTTTTCCATGAAAGGCATAAAAGATATTTCATGATCATCTCCATTACGACCTTTATGGCCATTATGTCTATGAAACATATTCTAAGAAAATCGTACATGTTCCGAAAATTGAATCTGGTTTCTAGAAATCTACTTAGAGTCTCAAGGATGAGTTAGTGCCATGAAAACTTGAATAACACATTATTTTCAAAAATCAGATCGTAGTTTATATCGTATGTTTAATGAAAGCAAACAGTAAAAAAAAAATGGCTTTGAAAAATTCAGTTTAACAACTGATTTCTTTTTTCGGAATGTTCTTGTTCTTTGGAAGTAGAGAAATTGTTCAATTCTGGTTCCATGTAGTGTTTTTAATGTTAATGACGATCTTGCTTGACTTTTGCTTTTTGAATAGCTTGTGTTATTTCAATAGCTGCTGCTGGCACCTGTAGGTAGTTGAAAGTAAGACCCTCGTTGCCTGATGCTAGTGCTACTTGGAGAATTTTTGGCCTGTCACCACAACATGAAACACAACATGTACCTAGCAAAAGGCAAGGCCATGTACATGTAATACAGGCTATCAATAATGCCAAACCATTGCCACCTTGTTTTGGCCCTGCTTCACGCAAAACTTGGATATCTTGCAAAAAGATGCTGGTATCAGCATGAGCGCCTGTACAGCAACCACAAGATGGTTGCGTCTGTCGCATAATCAATCGATTTTTGGTTAATGCAATTGTTGTTCTCGGTCCACAGCAACGTGAGCAACCTTCTTGACAATCGTAGATATTAATGATAGGTTCATTACTGAGTGGAGGAAAAGTGTTGGAAAAATTGAGGCCTCCTGGTTGTTGCATAATAGGCTGGACCCTAACAAACAGATTTCAACTCATTCGCAAAGTAATTCGTATACCACTTGCATTGTTATTCCTTCACAGCGCTGTAAAGATAAAGTTTTGTACTGCTAGTTGTTCACGAAGTATTATGCGGTTGTTCAGCCTATCGGTAGCATAAGTAAATAGTAATTATCGATTGCAACAGAGTTCGAGAGAAATAGATTATCAAAGTACTATCAGCTTCAATTAGAATCTCAGATCTCTTTTTACCCTTAAGGGAATGTGAGAAGTACAAGAAAATAGGATTATTCCGGTGTTTGATCCAATTAATTCAAAAGTTGAACAATAAATAATGTTACTTTAATAGTGTGGAAATATAATGTTCTTTGCAGTTAAGAAATATCTTTTGCCACCGAGACCAAAAAATTCCACGCTATACAAATTCCCTACTGACGCTAGGTATGTTCCGAGCCTGAGCCTAAATCAATCTATTCGGAATCAATCAGGTGCGAGTTTTGTTAGACTCGATTAAGTGTGATGTAGTTCTGCCTCAGTATATTTTGCTATTGATTATCTAAATCTCGCATTTGGATCAATACTTTCTTTGCTCTTCTTTTTGTCATGCAGTAATGCTACTATAATGTTTTTATTTCAAAAATTTGTTTTTCAACAATATCAATAGGTAGGTATTACTGAGTTAGGAATAAATTGAAAGTTTCAACTCAAATGGATCAGTCCTTCTCGAAATATAGGCAATACAATATCAAGGAGTAGATCCCACTTGTAGTATCTTACAGTGCAATAGTTCTCCAGTGACGTTTGATTTTCTACACAACGGCAAGAGTAGGGGTGCAACAAATCCTATTTTTCTACAGAAAGATTGCAAATTTTCGATATGAAGATCAACCAAATCTTTGTGTCGATTATAACTAGTTTTATTTGCTCTGCTCGATAATGGTGTAAAATGACCAAATCTATATAAGAAATTTCTACGATTTGGTAGGATTTTGTGAAAATATGGCAGTTTTTACCAAATTCTATCAAATCTTAGAAGTTTCTTTTATAGATTTGGTCATTTTACACTATTATCGACTAGAGCAAATAAAATCGGTTATAATCGACACAAAGATTTGGTTGGATTTGGCTGATCTTCATATCGACAATTTACAACCTTTCTGTAGAAAAATAGGATTTGTTGTACCCCTAGGCAAGAGTTACAACAGAGATTTTTGTACCACAGATATTATCAATGATGAGCTATCTTTCCATAGTATTGAAAGTGTCCTATCGTCTAATATTTATGAGCTAGTACTATATAATATATTCAGAAGACATGGTCCCACAGATAAGGTAAGTTGATCACACCAGCGTGATAGACCAACTCGAAAGTATTTTCATTTGAAAGAGCACATTAAACTGTGTTGAATGTCACTTTCAAAAGATTGTAACACTAAATATTGATATGAAAAATTTTCTGAACACGACTATGAAGACCAAATTCGGGCATTGACTCTCCCTATGAAGATAGAGGATTTATTTTCAAATATTCAATTTAAGTGTTTCAAATGAAAGCCCATGTCAGACAACCTCTACATCCAAAATTTCAGTTCATTTAAACATGTCTGTGACAATTAGTGAAGGAATTACTTTTTAAAAATTTATAGGGTAATATATAGGGCCTGTATAATGTGTCTAAGAGTCATATTTCAGTTAAAGTACAATCAAAAGATCTGAAATTTTTACCATTAACTATTCATATCGTGTCCTTAATATACAAAACGTTGTAGGCCAAAATTCGAATTTTCATTTTTTTTCGAATTACCTGTGGCAAATTACCGCGGTTCCCTCAGGATTATGAAAAAAATGAAATTTCGAATTTTGGCTTGAAACTTTGTGTATATTCAGAACTCGATATGAATAGTTTATGATGAAAATTTCGAATCTTTTGGTTACACTTTAACTGAAATACGACTATTAGAAAGATTAGACGGACCTTATGTATTACCGTATGAAATCTTAAAAAGTAACTCCTTCACTAATTTTCACAGACATACTCAATGGAACGGAAATTTTGGATGTAGAGGTTTTCTGATATGGGCTTTCATTTGAAACACTTAAATTGAATATTTGACAATAAATTCTCAATCTTCATAGGGAGAGTCAGTGGCTGAATTGGGTCTCTATAGTCTTCTTCAGAAAATTTTTCCTATCAAAATTCAATGTCACAAAATTTAGAAAATGACATTCAACACAGTTTGATGTGTTCTTTCAAATGAAACCACTTTCGAGTTGGTCGATCACGCTGATGTGAACGGATACCAGGGCTGCCATCTGTACCCCATTTCGGGGTACAGTACCCCATTTTAACGTTTTGTACCTCAAAAAGATTTGTACCTCAGAGGTACAAAATTTGTAAACCCCTCCCCATATTAGAAGCCCCCGGGGGGTTTCTATTAGATCCTGCAAACTTTGGCCGGTTTTTGCTGGGCAAAACTGAAAATTTTGCTGGAGAGACCCCTCCAAGGGGGGCTTCTAATATGGGAGGGGCTTCTATTATGGGGAGGGGTTTACCCCATTTGGACAATTTCCTTTTGCATAAGATTAAAATCATATTTTGTTAAAATCGATAAACTTATTGACTGTAGTTGACATCTTCATTTAAATAGTAGAGATACGAAGAGTCAATTACATTGGCTGATTCATAACCAATACAGGACTTTGTTATTCTTAGCATTGGTGTTTCCTTCTCTTTGCAATTTGAATCTCACGATCGAAATTAAATCGTGTTTCTAATCGATTATAGTTTTCTATTAAAAGAATTCATATATATTTATTGCAAAATACCGAGGAATTATTGTAGATTTTAGTTATGCAGCAAATGAACAACGATAATTCTATTGAACTAGATATTGAAGTCATTGAGGAAGAGAATGATTCCATGACACTCGAATTTGAAAAATCAATAACACCAAAAGAAACATCAAGTTCTATGTCTAGATTATCTTTCAATATAGAAAGAAAGTCATTGAATTCTTCATCAAAATCAAAAAGATATTACAAGTTCAACAAAGAATGGATTAAAATTTCGAAATATGCATCATTTTTACAAGAGTGTCGAACAGATTCATCACTTGCACATTGTTCTGTGTGTAAATCGAATTTTTCAATTGCTAATGGTGGGAAGTATTTGATCGATCGTCATCTTGAACAAGCGAATCACAAGCGTCTAGTAGCAGCAGAAGCTAAACACAAATGTAATTTAGTTTGGTCTTAATTCAAAAGAATACTGATTATGTTGATCTATTGTCTTTTAGCACATTCAATGTTTGATTTTATTCCTCACTCGACTGAATTGACAAAGTTGGTTGCTGCTGAAATCACATTAGTTTATCACGGAATACGTCATGGACATAGCTATTTGAGTCAGGCATGCACTGCTGATGTCTCGAAGAAATTGTTTCAAGATTCAACTATTGGAAAAAATCTCACATGTGGACGAACTAAAGCTCGTGAAATTGCTGCTAATGTTTTAGGTGAGTAATAATTCTTTTCTAAAGCAGAAGTATACTGACCAATTAGAGAAGAAGGGTAAAGATCGTTCGATGAATATTTCTTATTATTATTTCTTATTTTTTTACGATCTTTTTTTAGCTCCATTTATGACTTCTCAAATTACAGAAATGATTAATAAATCCGGTTTTTATTCTTTATCATTCGATGCATCTAACAAAGGTCACAAGAAAATGTTTCCATTTGTTGTAAATTACTTCACAGTTCGTGGTATCGAACGATCAGTGATTGAAGTAATTGAACTAGTTAATGAAACAGCTGATCATATTGTTGCTTCACTTCGAGAAGTATTGCAAATGAATAATATTGATATTCAGAATATGACATCAATTGGTGCTGATAATACAAACGTTAATTATGGACGAATTCATTCTGTTTTTTCTTTGTTGAAATCTGATATTCCACATCTAAAGAAAGGTGTTTTGCTATTGAAGAAAAATACACATGTCCCTAATAATAATGTTTTCTTCTAGGAAATTGTTTTTCACATGTCCTAAATAATGCAGTTAAAACTTCACATATACACTTGGTCATTGATGTTGAATCAATTTTGTCAAAACTCTATGGTCACTTTTCTTCTTCAACAAAACGAGTAGAAACTCTCAAAGAGTACTTTGATTTTGTCGAGCAAGATCATTTAGTAAAGCATATATCATATTATTAATAGTCATCAATTTTTTTTATATTCAGTTATTATTGAAACACATCAATATTCGTTGGCTTAGCCTATATCCGTCTATTGAACGATTACTCAAAGTATTTGATCCATTATCTGCTTATTTTTTGGATTTGGGTGACGAAGATGCTTTTCCATGTCCACCAATAATTTCAATGTTTTTTACTTCTACTGAAGCCAAATGTACAATGTATTTTTTGCACAATGTTTTGTTTGATATACAGAAAAAGAGCTTGGAATTGCAACGATACTACGTTTCTATTGTTGATTTGAGTAGAATCATCACTAGTCTTCTTAGCAAACTTAATGACCGATTGAAACAAAATTATTTTGGTTATCAAACGAAAATTCTATTGAATTCATTGCCCGATTCAGATCGAAAAAAACTGAATCAATCATTTATCGATTATGTGTCTAGTGTAATTAAATATATTGAGAAATATTATGATGAACAATCTGAATTGGCTGAATTAACTGCCGTTTTTGGTATGTTTTATTGTGATAATTAGATAAGAGAACAGCTTCATTTTTCTAGGCATACGTGAAATCGATCAAATAAAATTTCATCAAATTGAAGAGTGTGTCGTTTTTCTCAAGTTGGAAATTGATCATGATAAATTATTCGATGAATTGAATATTTTACAATCCACATTCAAAGAAGTCAATTCATATCGTGAACCATTGAGTGATCAAATTCGAAAATATATCGGTGATGATACTCATAATTTCAGTGGAGATATAATCAATGATCAAAGTAATGAATCACAGGATGAAG